GGGGGGGGGGGGGGGGGGGGGGGGGGGGGGGGGGGGGGGGATACATTTACCTTGACTGACACTGCGACAGGGAGAGAAAGCAGAATCCCCTTCCCTAAGAATCGCAGCTCCGTAACATCATGCGACATAATCTCTGCAGTGGGTTTGCTGTAGGGCCACACGGAAAATGCTAAGAAACACACACACACGCACACACACACACACAAACACGCACAGGTAAAATCTGTTGCGCTTATATCTGTTGCCCTTATAGACAAGACTCGAGAACTTTTTGAAGCAACTGCAGAAAACACTTGCCACAAAAGCACAAATGAGAGATCAGAGAATGGCCGTTCTGATGATAAAGACACGCCAGACAATCGGCTACATGCACAGGACAGATGGATTCAGTGGCACGTCCTGGTGGCAAGATGGATTGGAGATCTGACTTCCTTTTTTTCCACCATCTGTGTTGGAAAAAAAGCAGCCGAGCAGAAATCAACCGCCCCTCTGTGGAGGGGTGTTTTCTTGCAAAAGCCACTTCAGCCTGATTGTAAACTGTTTGGTAAGAGCCCCCTCGTTTCTGCCTGTTCCTCGGCCGCACTCAATTGTTGCCAGGGGCGACAGCATCAGCTGCTACATAGGGCGAAAATGCATGATGAATGTAAAGTACATGTTGGCAGGAAACAGAGCCTTCCCAGCGCCAGACCGAGGCCGCCCCCTAGTGGTGGCAGACGAGAATGGCGGCGTTTCGCTCATTTACTGATCTGCTGTAAAAAAGAAAAGAAAAAACAGGAGAGAGAGCAGAAAAAAGTTTTGAAAATATGAAAAGCAGTCCAAACAGAGGAGGGCAAAAACTTCCTTGAATGACGAGTGTTTTGTTTCTGGTTTTATGAGGTTTTCTTGCAAAGGTTGGTTGTTAACTGATAATTTCTCATGTGGCTCCAGCTTTTCTTTTTCTAAAGCGCAGGTATGTGATCATTGCCTTTTGTTAGGGCGGAAAACCCCATTAAACCTTGTCAATTAAAACAGGTTTGAGCAGATCTGTTTGGAAGCCACAGGAAGATTAAAGTCAATTTCAAAAGCTAAAAAAAGTTTAAACTTATGCAACAATAAACAGCAAACCGTACCACTTCCTTCAATCTTTAACATTGTTATAGTTTGTATTATCATGTTCAGAGTACCAAAACCAAAGTCCTTTAAAGCACTCTATAGAATCCCATCCTAGTAACAGTTAAGGAGCCTCAGTGGGGGAAAAAAATGCTGTTTATGTCTTTGAGTGACCTCTTTGTGTGAAAAAAAAAAGAAAAGAAGATGAAAATGTAATCAAACTTTCATGGTAAGATAAACAGGGAAACTCTTATGGGAATTTACCCCCCAAATTCCCAATCAGATGAGTTTAGAAGCTGAGGAGGAAATAAAATCAATCCACAGGTGCATTTCTTGGCAGAGATCATCACGAGGAGCACCAATCACAGACGAGCAGTGACGTCTGTAAGTGAAGAGGAACCCTGAGTTTCCCTGATGCCTGTCAAACTGAAGAGAACAGCCAAAGGAGTCGAGGTAAGTTTTAAAACATTGTAGCTTGTGTGTGACTGGCAAAATGGAGATTTACTTCTTTTTTTTATTTAAAGAAAGAAAAAAATAGGTTTATTTTTGTAAAGAAAATGCCACAGCTCTGTTTAACTCTCCCTGCATAAATTAACCGTAAAGTTAATCTGTTGGACTGTTTGCGACTTAGCTTTCATGTCGAATCACAGATCTAACAGTACTCAACTGTCCAGGGATCACTCCAGATTAAATCATTTTTACAAATGTGACGATCCCAAAATGACCACAATAGGGTTTGATACATACCTGCAACGTGATATTTTGTAACTTCAGTCCACACACTTTTTCTTCCTTCTTCCGCTTACACTTGTACTGTGATGGCTCACACCTGCATTCCTGTGTAATAAGCTCGAACAACTGAGTGCTTTAGAATGTACACGGGAATGCAGGTACGTAACCATCGTCTCTGAAGTGAGGGGGACACATTTGTCAGAGGTCTGTTGAGCTAGCCTCAAAATAAGTTACATCATTTTATCTAATGGCATTCAAATAGAAAGTAACATAACATTAAACACATCAACAATAATAATGATGATAACAATTATGTTATGTGAGAGGACAGAAATGCAAAATCAATCAAGATAAAATATGAAAAATGGCATGAACTATGACCCACTGCCTGTAAGAACACCATTAATCAAAAGTTTGCATGTGTACATAATGGTGCTTTTAAAGACTTCTCGGAAAAACACGTTGCCGCATGTTGATCAAACAGTTTTAACGGCTGAAAAATCTGCTGGCCCAGAAACAGGAAAAGTTGTGGAAATACTTTAGACCTCATTTGTTACGCCCATGGATCAATTAAAAATGAGGATATTTTCAACAGAAAAAAAATCTAAATCCCTCTTTTGCAGTATTTGAATCAATGCGTTTCAATGACATATTTAGTTCTGGTGTGATTTTTTCCCCCCAGTAGCTTCAGACATGGCGGGGACACTAGATGAGCTCCAGTTCCGCTGCACCGTCTGCCTGGACGTGTTCAGCGACCCCGTCTCCACGCCGTGCGGACACAACTTCTGCAAACTCTGCCTGGGGACGTACTGGGACACCACCGAAGTGTGCCGCTGCCCGCTGTGCAAGGAGATGTTCCTGAAGAGGCCCGAGCTGCGCGTCAACATGGCCTTCCGAGAGGTGGTGGATCACTTCAAAAGCACCGTGTCCGGCCCGGAGGCCGGAGGGGAGGCCCGGGAGGCCGATCCGGACGAGGTGGCGTGTGACATCTGCGCCGACGCGAAGGCCAAGGCCTCCAGGTCCTGCCTGGTGTGCATGGCGTCTTACTGCGAGGCTCACCTGGAGCCCCACAAGACAGCCACGGCTCTGAGCAAACACAAGCTCATCAAACCGGTCAAGAACCTGGAGGAGCGAATATGCCACAAGCACGAGAGGATTTTGGAGCTGTACTGTAAGAAGGAGGAGGAGTTCATATGTCAGACCTGTGCCGAGACCGACCACAGCCGGCATAAAGTGGTGACAACAGAGGTCGCCTCACAGCAGAAAATGGTAAAAAACAAATAGTAAACTGCATTTCTTTTGAGTGTTTTCCCTGTTTTTCCCAGTTTTGAAATACTGAAATGAATACCAGAGAATACAAGAGAATACCATCTGGTGGTTTCTTAGTGTTCTTTTGCATTCTGATCTATTTTGGCTTATGCAACCCCTTTCTTCCTTTTTTTTTTAAAGATTCAGGTTAAGAGGCGGGAGAGAGAAGTGGAACTGATGATACAAGATCGGTACAGGAGGATCGAAGGGATGGTGGAACTGAAAAAGAAAACAAAAGTACGTTTTAAGCTCTGTTCTGAATAACTAAAAGGAAGCCTGAGCACCAAACAATGTACAATCACCCACTCCTAATGAAGTTATTCGTATTTCAAGATGTAAAATAAATCACTGTATTGAATACAATTGCATGTCTACGAGCTCTGCAGCCATTCAGGGAAGCTTCAGAGGTTAGCGAGGCTTCATGCCTCATCTTTTTGATTGTATGAGGACCCTAATCAAGAAAGCATTGAAATGCTTTTTTTTTTTAGGAGAACGCCGAAAAACAAATGCAAGACAGTGTCAAGGTCTTCACCTCTGTGATCGACTCCATCAAGAGCACGCACGAGGCGCTGATGGAGCAGATAGAGGTCAGGTTCAGCGTGGAGCAGGAGAGGTTTGAGCGGCTCATCGGCGTGCTGAGGGAGGAGCTGGAAGCGCTGGAGAAAAAAAGCGTGGAGCTGCAGCAGCTCTCGCAGATCGAGGACCAAATCACCCTTCTGCAGGTAGGAGCATATCGGAAAATCCTTCGGACATAACCCTGAGTCAAAAATTGCATCATAATTTCGGTTTTGCGGTAAAAAAAAAAAGCAATATAAAGGTTTCCTACTTCCAATTCTTGATGTATAGCATTTTTCAAAAATTGGCAGTACCAAAGTAAATGCTTTCCAAGTACAAATAAACACATTTATCTATTATTTCTTGTGTCCAAAGAGAAATATGTTCATTTTAAAACTAGGGATGTGTATCGTTTCATGTTAAAGATTACAACTCTGTTCTGTCTGCCTCTCACCAGACCATCAATAAAGCTAACGCTCTCCCACCGACCCAGAACTGGGCAACCATTCCTGCCTACGAAGTGGACTTTCTGGGTTACATGCGAGCGTCTTTGATCAAAGCAAAGGAATTCATCAACCTGGAAATAAGAAGGCAGGAATCCACAGGTAGGCGTTTGCTACAAATGCGTCATTGCATTTGGTCCGTCGAGGAGTGTGTCCAGGCAGGGCCAGAAAAGTGCAGCTGTGGGCAAAGAATAGATTCACGAGGAAGGAAAAGCTCAGGTCGCCGTTGGCATCTTGATTAACTAGAGATCGAATGATGCAAAATGCCCCCGAAGTCCATTTGTTGCCCCTTAAAGCGATGTAGGCTTTGGGTTAGATCTAGGACCCTTACTTTACCACGTATATCAGCCTTCTAATGTATCCCTAATTGTAATGTTCTTTCCACCTCCACAGAGCTTGGGAAAATGAAAAAATTTGCAGGTTGGTTTGACATCAAACACTTACAGTAATTCTTACATTCCGTCTCGACTTGTTTCCGGGTCCTAATAATGCTCTCCCTTGTTTCCCTAACGACAGATGACCTCACCATTGACCCCAGCTCTGCAGGATCCTGGCTGGCTGTCTCTGAGGACGGAAAAGAGGTCAGGCAGTCTGTAAAGCGGTACAAACTTCTGCTGGGCTCAGGGGAGAACACCTTCGCCGCCGCGACTCAGGCTCTGACCACGGGCCGGCACTACTGGGAGGTGGAGGTCAAGGGGAAGTCCAACTGGGCGCTGGGCGTCGTGTCCGACGTTCTGAGGAGGGAGACGCTGGTCCCCTGCCCGGAGATAGGCATGTGGACCATAAGTCACAGCGAGGGCTCGCGCTATGTGGCGGCGGCGCAAAAGCCCACGCACCTGAGGGTGGGCCCCCCGCCCCAGAGGGTGGGCGTCTTTGTGGATTACGAGGAGGGGCAGGTGTCGTTTTTCAACGTGGAGGCCAAAAGCCACATCTTCACCTTCGCCGGGTGCAGCTTCACGAAGAGACTCCGCCCGGTGTTTGACCCGTGCCTGGCTCCAGAGAAAAAAGAGACGCTTCCTTTGAAACTCATGATGGTCGAGATCGCCAAATGAAAGAAGCCTAAATCATGTTTGCCTGATCCAGTTTGGAATGGAGGCACACAGCTGCATCGTACATGGATACACCGGAGCAAAGGTCTCCTGTGGTTTTTTTTTATTGATTATGCAATAGTTCTATATGATTTCTATCAGATTTTGATTCATTTTATGCCATTTACTTTTGACAATGCGCATTTTCTTCACACCTCGCAATTCCGAAGCTAGAATGCAATGGCACCTTCATAAACCGTTTGAATGCCCAGTTCTGCTATTTATTTAATAAAATATTCACGTGAATGTATTCAAAAACCGTCCGCTTGCAAATAAAACTATCAAACCGCTTTATTTTTGTCCTGTCATTACTACCCTCATGCTTAGTTTGAGTTGGTTTACATCTCTATGGACTTTTTTTTTGCCATTCATAAGCACCATCGGCCAACCGATTATTTATTTTGATGAAAAAAGAAATTGGGAAACAATTCAATTCAATTTTATTCATTTATATAGGAATATGGAAGTTGTTTTTTTTTTAGTGTTGAAAATTGTTTATCTTTTTCCAACATGAAACATAGTGTTGGAAAACAGATAAAAGCTTGTTTTTTGCTTTTCATTGTGAAATAAAAAAAAAAATTAAAACCTGTCGTTTCCTGTTTCTCCTTGTTGGTCATCAGGAACCTGCTTCACGTATTTTTTTTTTTTAAACATCTTAATGGTTTGGCCGACATGCACGTGGACCCAGTGGTGACATTGTTTCTGTTGTTTGTCTAGCTTCTTTCAGCTCTTATATCTCTCATGTTGATGAGATATCCATCTGTGTTTTTCTACGCCAACACAGGGTCAATGAAAACCGGATCCTCCAGGTGCTTTCCGCTTTGTATATAACTTTGTATACTTTTAAAAAAGTTTTTAATTTTTTAAACATTTTAACAGGCTGTGGATGTAACGTTCTTCTGATATTTTCACTTCCATAATAGAATAACAGAAAAAAACAGTGTCATCTCAAGACACAGATCAATCCAGTTCATTTGAACATAAGTTAAATCCATTAAAGTCTAAATGAATTCACACATTTTTGGGATATATTTGATTTTACCTAGAATGTTAATATTTATTTGACCTCTTTTTCCGTTTACAAATAGTTTTACAAACCAAGACTATGAAAATGATAAATGGACATAGCGCCTCTATAAAAGCATTAAGAATAAAAGTAAAACTAAATTTGCGTGTACGTCCTAACAGAACAGAGCAACCATAAATGATTGTTGTAATATATATTTGTAATTATAGTATGCTATCATAAATGTTTGGGAGCAATTTCTACTAGGAATCCACATGCTGAGCGGGTCTCGTTCCCTAAAGTCATTTTGCATTGTCATGATACAATTTACAACTCTACAAACATGACTGATGCTTCAAATAAAAAAAATAAAAAAATGTAATGTTAAACAATTTTCTAATTTTTGAGGACACATTTTACAACTGCTCCAGTGATTTGTTAGTTCCTTTATCTTCTTGAATGAATCCTTGGACTTTAAAATTCTTTAAAACTTTAAGTGGGGCACTGATTTCCAGTGTTTACACCTTAACAACCATTTAGAAATGACATATAGATACTTGAGCATTTAGTTATTCGCTGAAAACGAGGGCAAAACCAACTTGGCGCAGCTGCAGAGAGTCTGCAAAAGGAAGGGACTGTTTAAACAATGAAAACAAAGCCCTATTGGTGGTGTAAGGGCTTTGAATATTTACCTTGCCAAGCCAAAGAAATCACTGTGAGGTATGTCCCGGTGTGTCACGCTGAAAGTGGGAGGTGCCAATTCAAGTTTCAGGAAGCGCTCAGGAACCTGTTGGAGAAGGCAGAGAGATTCCTATCAGAGGTGAGGTGAAGGAGCGCAGCCATCCGACTCAAATAAAAGAAACATGCAGAGTAAGTACGACCGTTTCTGACATGTCTTTTACGAGAAGCTTTCCTTTAACCTTTTCAGTAAAGGACAGGTTGTGTTTTTGAGCCCTTTTTGTGTTTTCTGAGAAGCTTTTTTTCCTAATCATAAGCATACGAGAGGCACACAGAGTCAGACTGTGAGAAATTAACTTGGACTTTGGTGTTTGACATGCTATAAAAGACATTTGTGTGTTGGATTTTACAGATAACAGAGTTGAGTTGTATAGACTGAGTGAAATATGTTAATTTTGTTCGGGTATACTGGTCCTGTAATAATTGGTAAATTACCAATATGTTTAAATCTAGCCATAGTGAAATTTCAGTGACATAGAACTATTTAGAACAGAGCTTAAAACAAGGTGAGGTTTCATTATTTCTAAACATACTTCGGCAACAGTGGTTGTTTTGTTGTGGCTGGTTCATTGTAAAAGTGTCAACCAATTAGATCCTGAGCAGCTGCCCTGAGGCAAATATTCCTGATTTTCTCCATTCCGTAAATAGTTCCTTGTACCCGTCAATGACAGAAATACAGCTCCCAGCCTCCATCTGACTTTATTGTGTATGTTATTTAATGTTGCACAAGTTGTTATGAAGTCTGATTTAAAAAAAGAGAAATAAAAAAAGGTTTCTGGACTTTCTCAGACTGACTCCTCTTCCTCTCTTTTGTGGAATGTGTGTTGAGTCACGTGGCCTCCAACATCCTCAATCAACAAGGCGTCTTTGTGCTGTTTTATTTACTCATGCCCTCTGACATACTCATCGTGCAGCTAGCAAAACATGTCTGAAGAGTGTTTTTTTTAAACGCTTTTTTTATTCTTCTTGTTTTTTTATCTTGACCTTTTGGACATGAGGTTGGGAACAGAGTCTCGGAAGTCACAATTAAATGGTGTGTGTAAAAATGTGAGTCCTATGGTGACAGGTGCCCCTTCCCACCTCTCACTTGGATGGTTCAGCCAGGTCGTAAATAGGTGAAAGAGAGGGAAAAAAACAAAAACAAAGAAACTATGAACTTATGACCAAATTAGTCACACCAACACACATTCAGAAAAAAAAAAGTCCATCGACTGTCTGTAGTGCTTATACCTCCTAGTAAGGTATACCTCACTGTTTAAACTGGTATTTTGTCCAAACACAGGTTTAAACATCACATAAGCATCCATTTGGAGGCTGTTTTGTGCATAACAGAAAAACATCAAACAGAATTTTTCTGTCGATTATTTTTAAGGTTTTGAAAAATGTGACAGGATGAAAATGTTCTGCTCTTTTCTGATCTCTTTTCACATGAATTTTTATGATTCCCTCATCCATTCGTGTCTGTGTCCTACACTGTTATATTACCTTTTTTTCTGGTGTGTGTGAAACATTTAACAGCTATGATGCCTGACTGGAGCATGACTGAAAGCTTTCTTTGTCACATTATGGTGCAGTGTATTGTCATTCAAAATGAATTCAGTGTTAACCATGCCTACTTCAGGGGGGCCTGTGAAACCTCTTGTACAGTCTGTTTAACTTCTGTACATGGTGTATTTTCTGTCTATCTAAAAATAGACTGAAAATCCCTAAGCCTTTCGCACGTTTGCCCACCAGGCGTCAGCTCTCCTGGAGGCCGGGTCCTCTCTGAAGACCAGTTCACCTGCTCCATTTGCCTGGAGGTGTTTGTGGAGCCCGTCTCCACGCCATGCGGTCACAGCTTCTGCAAGGCCTGCCTCCAGGGCTACTGGAACCACAGCAAGAAGTTCCTGTGTCCAATGTGCAAGAAGGGCTACACCAGGAGGCCCGAGATGAGCGTCAACCGGGTACTGGCTGAGATATGCTCCCAGTTCCAGGGGCTGGCGGTGGCTGGGGGCGCTGGGGTGACTTCCCCCCGGGGGGGCAGCGTTTGCTCCGACGCAGGCCACAGTGCTTCTCTGGGGCCGGACACGGGGGAGTATGCTCGACCAGGCGAAGTTCCCTGCGATTCCTGCATTGGGAGGAAGTTAAAGGCGCACAAGTCTTGCGTGAACTGCCCGGGATCTTTCTGTGAGACCCACCTCAGGCATCACAAGAAGGTCGGTCATGCCTCTAGTATGCAATCTCTACTCTCTCTACAGTACCCATGATTATGATGCTAAACTCAAAGGGCCATCCGAATCCTGATTCTCTGAACTTGTCCTCCAGGTCAAGACATTGACGTCCCATCGTCTGATCGAACCCACCTTCAACCTTGAGGACAAGATCTGTAAGAAACACGAACGCCTCCTGGACGTCTACTGCCGGACCGACCACGCCTGCATCTGCTCCGCCTGTGCCGAGGCCACGCACAAATCCCACGAAATCGTTTCCATCGACCACGAGTTCAAGAAGAAGACGGTGAGCCCAAGTCCAAGCGTGCACAATTAAGACTCACCGGAAAGGTCCCAAACAGTAGTTAAGGATGGTGGTGAAACTGAATCTGAATTTCGGTGTTGAACGCGTTAAGGTGTTTTCTGTTCCAGAACAATTTGGGGAAGAAAAGGTCGGAGCTCAAACACCTGATCAAAGAGAGGGCCAAGAAACTGGAGGAGATCAAGCAATCCATCAAAGTTATTAAGGTAAAGGCCTCGGGTAGACCTCTTAAAGGGGATGATAGGGGTGAGAACTAACACACTCGACCGACTTTGGCTACCCGGAAAGTTCTAGAAAAAGTGTCGGAATTACCCTTGTTTTGGTAGCCGAGGAAAGTTGTTCTCCCCGCCCTTAGTGTGGGAAATCTAAACCTGTTTGATAGTCGTACTTAAGTTTTTCAGAATAGTAAAATTCTGAATAAGAAACACTTTTCTTTGACTGAAGATGGTACAGATGCACAAAACTGACTGCATTCAAGCTCAGAGTGAAGCCTTAGGCGGTTAGTTTGATTTTAACTAGTGTTGTGTTTCACAACCAGTGTGAGGCACAGCTGCTGCCTGTTAAATATTCACATCTTATATAATGAGGTGCCTATCGTCCACTGAACCTCAAAGGCTTGATTATCGCCACGCTCTGATCCAGGCCGCCTCATAAAGCATGAACTAGTTGTTGCTCAAGGCCTCTTTGATGAGAGGCAGCGCACATTTCCAGCTATCAGTCCGCAGATTCATCACGCCTTGCCACAGATTTGGAAAGATATTTAAACGGGACGTCACAATCGTCACATCCCTCCTGCTCTGCTCTGGAAATGGAGGCGGATAGCTCATGTGGTTTGTTTGTCTTTCAGCGCACACAGACAAGCCCTCACCGGTCTGTCCGACCGGTGAGACCGGTGTGAATTCCTACCTTTTGTTTCTCACACCCTGCCTTTGCGCATAAGCATAGCAATGAAATGCACCTCTAGAGTAAAAATGGGGAACATGAAGGATTGGACGCCCAAAGGGCTTTCACTGACAATCCCCAACACCAAAGTGACTGGTGCTGTGCAGGTGTTGAACCCTAGACATATAACCTAATAGGGCAAACATTAAATCGCCTATGTATTTCTGTTTGACAATGTATTAAAGAGAGGCTCTTCAGGAAACTGATTCTTTAGTTGAATTGGTTAGAAAACCACTTTTTTTGTGGTAAATGTCGGTTTAGGATACATATATTTTCTGACCAGTAGTAGCCAACAGGTTCAGTGCAGGTGCTTGTTTACCATTGACATTTTTATCTCCTTTGTCAAATACACTGAGGGCTCGGTTACCACGGGCTTGAACGCCTGAAAGGATAGCTACATCACTGTGTGTAATGTACACAAAGCAGCGTGTAGCCCGCACTGCATACAAACAATGGGCTTGAGGTCAAGAAAAGAAAAAGATATTCCTTTCAGTTTTGCAGCGAAGAAGATGTTTTAATGAAGGGATATATTCATATCCGAAGCTGTTGAATGTATAGCCCTGCCTAAAAACTAGATATCAGTACTGGAACATAAGCAGAGATAAGCTTGGGATGAAAAGCTTGGGGTTTTTTTACTCTAGAATAACCTGTTAGTCAGGTTGTCCAACTGGCCGATTGAGTCTAAGTGAGCCAAGCTCACAGAAAAAGGCTCGATCTTTTAAACAGACGCATTTCACAGGTTCATTTGAGCCCTTTCATTTGAGGCTTTACCCCATTAAACAGAAGGAATTTAAGAATAAATCAAATATGCAACAGCCAATGCTGTTAATGATTGCTTATACAAGATCTCATTGCAATAAGATTTTCCAAATAAATGACAGCTACTCTCACCTCTGTCAGTTGTGAAACTGAAGGACCTGAAACTGTGGTCTGTTTCCAACAGGGAAAAATAACCTAACAAAGAAACAGGAAATGGGAACTAATCAGGACTGTGCAGAGCCTTTGAACTGATCCACTTAATCAGAACCAGGTGTGAAGCAGGGAAACCTCTAAAACCTGCAGGATACCGGCCCACAAGGACAGGAGTTGGAGACCCATGGTGTATCTGTTTCTGTATGTTGTGAAGCATGAAAAAAAACACAGTGTTAACGGCTGCTAATATCTGAAATGACATCATGCTTAAACCTTCAAACAGATATTCAAAAAGATGTGTCAACAAAAAAAGGTCATCCCCGATATAACGTCCACATGCCCCTTTCTGTTTGGATTTTACCAACTTTCAAAAGCTTCTCTAAAGCTGCAGACGTCAACATCTGTGTCGTTACAGGCCAGCTCTCAGAAGGAGCTGGAGGAGAGCTGGCAGGTGTACGCGGAACTGCAGCGGCTGGTGGAGCAGAGTCAGGCCGACCTGGTGGAGCTGATCGCCACCAGGCAGCGCGAGGCGGAGCGCCACGCTCAGGAACTGGCCAGAGGGCTGGAGAACGAGCTGAGCCAGCTGAGAAGGAGGAGCAACGAGCTGGAGGTCCACGCACAGACCAAGGACAAAGTGCTCTTCCTTCAGGTAGCAGAGCCCTTCAAGTGACTCACAAAAATGAACCAAAAACAAAATAAATATGCAGTTGGGACAGCGAGAGAGATTCATTGTTAAAAACGTACTGTTTATGCAAATTAGATTCTTATTCATGATTTTCACGCCCAGGCCGCGATATAATTGTTTAATATGTAGTTATTTTTTCATAGTGTTTGCTTAAAATGATCAACTTAGTTACTTAAAAAAGGAAACTTAGAGCTGGATCGGCTCCTTGTTTCTGTTAGGTGTGTTTGTGTCTATTACACGGGTCAAAACCCCCCAGAAAACTCACATTTAGTGTGTTATTTTCATTGCACAGTTTCCTGTGGGGGAAGGGGTCATTAAATGCTCATTTCCCTGTTCCCTAAAGAACGTGACAGCACTGTCACCCTCACCCGAGCCTGCCGATTGGTCGATGGTCAGCATCAACACTGACCTCTACCTGGGAACCATCCGCTCCTCTGTCAGCGGCCTCATCGACAAGTTCAAGGAGGAGCTCAAACGCCTTTATGGGAAAGGTGAGGGGCGTGTAGCAGGTGGTATTTTTTCTCATGAGCGCTGAGTATAAATCAACTAACTGAAGATGAGCAGAGCAGGAAGAAAATGGGGAACTATGGGTGAGACCCGAAAATAGAACACATCAAAAAAACATCAAAGTATGGAGGAAAACAGGTCAAAATCTACATAAAACCTCTGAGGTGAGCAAATGAATAGATGTTTGTGTTTCCTCGCGTACTATGCAACACAATTAAAATGTAGAAACATGCAATACTTTGCATTCAATTCGACCTTTAACAGAACAAAGCTGTTGGCAAGGATCAGGTGCTTTGCGGCGTTCTTATTGTTATTTGTCGTTCCCGTTTTCGGGAGCTAAAATGAAACGCGTCCTCCGCCGCCTGAAACAAACAAAACATCTGATGCAAATCAGGCATTTAGTAGGTCACTGAGCTTGCCTTTTGGAATGGAAAAGTGAGTCATCGTTGCGGCAAACTCGCGCGCCTTCACGCATACGAGGTGGCCGAACGGATGGAGGCAGTTTTGGTGCCACGCGGCAAAGCCACGCAGGATCCCCAAAGAGGCCGCTGAGTGACAGCAGCGCATGATTCAAGACTCTAAAGCTCTCTGGATTATAGCAACACGTTTAACACGCACACGCACTACTGTGACTTTGACTCATGTGCCCTGAGATGAGTTGTTGACTTGGTCTTTCCTCTCTCTCTCTACAACCCCCTTCCCCCCCCAAACTCAGAACTCCGGAAGGTGCAGAACTATGCAAGTGAGTAAGACCTCCACCTTTTTTTTCACTGCGTTAACAGATTGCTTGTTGAAAGTTTGACTAGCCTACATGTGAAGGATGAGATTCTGTGCCTCCTGTAGCATCGGAAACACTTGGTCATCCTCAGGGAAAAAGGGGAATTCATTAGTTTCTACTAATCCAAACAGTTATTTGTACGGGTAAATAATGCAATGTCCTGACTTTGGACCATTTTGTGATTATGCACCCTTTATAACAAAATCATATTTTATATCTTTTTGTGCTAATACAATCTTGTTGATGTTCGGAGCTCACCCCTTATATTATTGTCACTTAGGTCAAGTAAAAAGCTGAGAAAGAAAATTTTACGTTGCTTCCTTTTTCTTGTAATAATTCAAACAGATCCCAGAGGTTTCTTGTCATTTTGCTGGAAAGTCAAGCAGGATTTTTAGTTCTCGAAAACGTCCACAAGATGGAGCCATTTCTGTGCAGTGCATGTAATTCACAGCAGAGCAGCCAGATTCAGCATTCAAATGCTTGAATGGAAAGCAGTTTTGACCACATTTTACCTGTCAGAGTAGAAATTTAACATCCTTGAAACAAAGGGTCCATTTGCCTTCTATTCAAGATCTTTGATTGTCAAACTTGATCTTTAATTGTCAAATCGGGCAGTCATGACTTGATATTTGAGCAAAAATGTCCCTTATTTTTTATTCAAACATCTATCAGTCCCTGATTGTGAGTTTTCCTTTCCAGGTGAGGTGTTTTTAGACCCAGGCACTGCCCAGAAGAACCTGGTTGTCTCCGACGATGGTCAGCAGGTGAAATACGAAGAGCGCAAGGTTTCCCACTCTGATAGTCAGAAGCGCTTCAACCCCGCCCTCTTTGTCCTGGCTCGAGAGGGCTTCAGCTCGGGCCGGCACTACTGGGAGGTGGACGTGACGCGCAAAACCGCCTGGACGCTGGGTCTGGCCCGCGCCACGGCCCACCGTAAGGGCGAGATCAAACTGAGCCCCGGAGGGGGTTACTGGTGCCTCTGGCTGAAGAACGGTGAGGTGAAAGCCCTAGCGGCGTCCCGCCTCCCTCTGATGCTGCAGGCCCATCCCGGTAAAATAGGAATCTTCTTGGATTACGAGGCGGGTCAGCTTTCTTTCTACGACGTGAAGTCGCGCCAACATCTCTACACCTTCCACGACAACTTTAACGAGAGCGTTTATCCAATCTTCAGCCCGTGCCTCACCCAGGATGGGAAAAACGCCTGCCCCCTCGTCATAAGCCACGTGAAACACAGCTAAGGCAACCCGTCAGATTTAAGTTGGACATTTATGACTTCATTGAAAAGACCAATACGCAGAGGATCGTAGAAGATTGAGCGGTCTTCTTCCAATCAGTTGTTGTGACTTAAAAACGTGATGTTTGACTTATTTGGACAGAATTCACCTCAAACAACTTCCAATCTATAAATGAACTGTTTTTTCACCCAGCACGACTGGATTTTATCAAACCAGTGATGGTAGGATGACCAGTATCATCATACCATGATACCAAGACTCTATTGACTGACTACATGCGATTCTTCCAATGCGATTAACACTTCAGTCACCTGCCATCTTCTACTGAATGGACAGAAAAAACCAGAGGGATCTTAAAGGGAAAAAACCTGTGAAGGAGAAGATATTAACGTCCAAAGTCTAACTAACCCCCGGGCTCAAACCTTACCCCGAAAACCCCCCCCCCACACAGTTGGACGGGTTGAGGTGATCACTAACTATGAGTAGAGCTGTACCAGCACTTTCCTTACTGTGTAAGACTTTGGAGGAAGTATATATATATTGCAGCAAAAGTAAATGTAAATTCCGTGTCCAGAGCTTGCTGAGGGGACAAAACGAAATACTGTTGCACATATTTTTTGCAGGGGTTTTCTGTCGGAAACTTTACGTGGATGTAATGTTTGTTTTTAAGGGGCTTCCGGGTCTGGATTATTTGTATCAATAACTGTTTTTTTTACCTTCTTTCTGAAATTGCCAAAAATAAAGATTGATTCTGATAATAGGTTCCACGTAAGGCCATTTTCTTTTTACTTTGAGTTATGTTCCCAACCAGCAGTGAATAAATAAAAAATCATTAAACCATAAACAAAAAGAATTTCTATTTCATTTCTATTTCTTAGGTACCACGAGACACAAACTGGAAGCTCTTCAGCAACACTGTGCAGCCCTCTCTGCAGGACAACACTGCATACATTTTGGTTAAAGCAGCTGCTTCAACTATTTATTATCACAATGTGTAAGATGGTGTTATCTTCTTGTTTTCCTCTCAGAATAACGCGGGCTATTCCAGATTGTGCTAAGCTAACCAGCAGCATATGTACTGCAGTGGATCAAGACATGGTGCAGCCATTATAAGTGCCAAAGACAACAACAGAAATGCTCTTGATTATGCTTTCTTTGCATTCAGAATAAGAAATGAAGTTTGCAAATGAAGTCCGACCTGATGTCAGCTACTGAGGGACACGAGCATTGTGTGAAGTACATCACGGTTCACAAGCAATTCTGATCAAATTATTTTTTAAAATAGACTTTTAAATGTGCTTGTTTGTTTTGGAGTTGGAAGTAACTTTGAAAAAGAATAAAAAGTGAACATTTATCTCACGCTTGTATTTGACAGAAGTTCAGAGACCAAGAGAGCCTATTTGCAGAAAGGCTAAAACCATTCCTCCTGAGGCACAGAGGGCTAAAGGCAGCAAGTATAAATTTGTATCTGGGGTGAAAGGAGAGCGTGGGGCGGTGAGGGGGATTGGAGTATATTTAAAGTCAGAGAAGTGTGTTGGGAACTGGGGGTGGAGGTGATCACAGCCTGTCTCATATGTCAGTGACCAGTGCACAAGGCAGCTGCTCTTTGGTGAGTGTCAACATATCTCTGCTTTCTGTGTTTCTGTGCCGTTTCTCCTGTATTTCACTTCATGCTGTGTTATATTTGCTTTTCTGTGCACAAATGTCTCTTATGGAAGAATGTTGAGCTGAGTAAACTAATATTAAGCTCCAGAAGAGCTATGACCTGAACAGAGGACTTTTTTTCTGGTTGTTTTGTGTGTTACTTTACTACCACTTCAGACCAAAGTCAACTTAATTCTTCACACATAGCAACGCATTTAGGATTCTAACATGTTTAAGGAACAATTTGAGACAGTTAAAGAGCATCGGCGCTGCAATTTGGGTCACAGACTAATCCGTCTGTAACCTATAAGAGGGCCTCAAGCAGGGAGCTGCTCATGTGTGAAGAAAGGATACAGTCATGTTGAAAAAAAAAGGTTCTTATTAGGACCACCACAGTGATTATCTGGTCATCACCAAGTTTTATAATAATAAGTAGATACAGCCTTCAATGAACAGCAACACACAAATGTTACACAAACCAAGCCAAAGTGGAGAAGTGTTTTGGAAATCTTTAATCTAGCAGCTGGCAGCAAGGCGCTGCTGATCTAACACTTTCACCGACAACTGGAAGAACCTCCCCCCAAAAGCAGAAGTTTTGCAGGTCTGAAGCATTCAGTCGTGTGCCAACACAATCTTTCAAGGAGTGGACATCCCTATGAGTTCGCACCCTCAAATGTCAGGCGCCTAAGATGCACTGAGAAAAAAAACCAGGAGTTACTGTACTAAAGTTAAAGATCATGTCCGCACACAACAGCGCAAAAGCTTCTCGCTGTGCAGATCACACTGGCATTTACTAAATTTGCAAAGTAACATGCAAACAACTTAAAATTACATGTAGAACAATGTCTTTTGGACAAGACTGTGAGCGCAAACACTTACTGTTAAGTACGGTGGTGTAAGGCTGATGATGTGGGCATTTTTAATTGAGGTAATCCAGATTGATGTGAAGTTATGAGACCTTAAGGAAGTTGTACACAAACAAGTACCTTCAGACCTTAATGAAGTGAAAAGAGCAATGTGAGAGACTGATAACATTGTGCAGCTGAATGCTGCTGAACAACTCTAAGTCATAGTGTACATTTTTCACAAACTGCTTCTCCGTTTTGATTGAGAAACCACACAGTGTGATGTCTGATATTTGTGCCACTATCTTGGGTTCTTTTTCGTCTTTAAAGTTGCAGTGAACCATAAAGCTGAAAGGAGATGTTTGGGCTTTTAAACATGACTGTACAAGTTGGTCTAAACTACTGAGAATTTCAAGTGAACACACAAAACAACAGAACAATGACCCCCTTTTGAAGCCATGCAATCTAACCACAGCAACTTCAATATCACAGCAGGTCGATGCTCCGCTCACAGGCCGGTTGCTTTCGCTGAAAATGACCCTGCCTCTCCGCCGTGCAGGGATGGCCACCACTGGCAACCTTTCTGAAGAGCAGGTGCACTGCTCTATCTGTCTGGATGTCTTCACCAACCCCGTGTCCATCCCCTGCGGACACAACTTCTGCCAGAGCTGCATCCTGGGATACTGGAAAACCTGCCCTTTGTACCAGTGCCCCATGTGCAAGAAGTCCTTCCACAAAAGGCCCGACATCAGCGTCAACACCGTCTTGAGGGAAATCGCCGAGCAGTTCAAGCAGATCAGGGTGAAGAGCGTGGACAGCAAAGGAAGTGGGGAAGAGGGAGAGGTGAAAACCAAGAAGTGGACGATGGAGAGGCGGAAAAAGGAGGACGAGGAAAGGCTGCTGGAGAAAGATCAGAAGCAGCTGCTTCTGGATGAGTTGAAGCAGAAGCAAGAGGAGGAGAGGAAGAGGAAAGTTGGTACGAAGGAGAAAGCAGGAGACGATCTGCCACCGCTGATCCCCCCAGTGGTGATGCAGAAGAGCTCTCCTCCGCCGTCCCCCCAAGCTGCAGCAGAGGCTCCGCCACCACTGCCCCAAACTTCCCCTCCACCCTCACCGGCACTCCCTCAAGCTTCACCCACACCTTCTACCTCTTCCCTCCCATCCGCATCCTGGGAGGAGGTCTTTTGCGATGTGTGCCTGGGGGAAGGCCGTCCGACGGCGCTCAAATCCTGCCTGGTGTGCCTGACCTCCTACTGCGAGGAGCACCTCAGATCTCACGCCGCCAGGTTCACCAAACACAAGGTGATAGAGCCCGTTGCTAACATGCAGGACAGGATGTGCCCCAAGCACGAACGGCTCCTGGAGCTGTACTGCAAGAAGGACCAGACGTGCGTGTGCGTCCTCTGCACGGAGACTGACCACAGGGCCCACTACACCGTCCCCGTGGAGAGAGAATGGACAGATAAAAAGGTGAGGTCTTTCCCCCAACTGTAACTGCGTTAAACAATCGGTTGTTAAGAGTTGCAAATTATCATCACACAAAGCATCTACTTTGGTTTGAACCCTTGAAATGGAAAAAAAGCGATCAAGTGCCAGCAAACATACTCAGCAAATCCAATTTGCACAGTAATGTCTACCCTGGGTTTGCTGGGATCACACCCATGTGTCCGCCATTCCAGGCTAAATAAAGCTCGAGCTGGACTGGATCGGCACTCATCACATTTGTTATGTAGCATCAAGCAAAGCAAGAAAGTCAATCTAAAAGAAAATTACACAATTCAGAAGTTTTTCCAAACAATTCTGGTTGCTTGTGCATTTGCTATGTGCTGCATATGTAAACGTTTTAGAGCAATACATGCTCCCATCCAGATGATGTGTATATCGGGAAGGTCTTGCAAGTTTAGTGCAGCATGGCCTCATGTTAGAGTCAACATTGTAGTGCACAATGGGACCATTTGGTATAACCCAGCATGAAATACAATAACGTCGCCTGACGGCTGTTGAGAAGATATCTTTTTAACATGGCTTTTGATCAGTCTGGAGGCCGGAGAATGAATTTTCATTTATCTGGCTTTCAGAAAGTTTAGAAGAAACATGAGGTTTTCAGGCATGATCTCAGTATGAACAAATGAACGCTGTAGCGTCAGGCCCTTTGAGATGTTTGGATGTAGGGCGAGGGTGTTGCTTTCCATCACGAGCAGTACTTGTTTAATCTTGGACGATGATCTTTTACACGATCAGTGCTACAACTGTCACCAGTCAAGTTTGTGTGAAATCCTCTTGTTCAGGCACATCTGAAAAGGACGGAAATGGACGTCCAGCAGATGATCCAGGACAGAGCGAAAAAGGTGGATGAGATAAAACACGCTTTGGAGCTCAACAAGGTCAGTCAACATGCTCCTTCTTGATTTCACTGACGCACCCTCATGAAAGGCCACGGCCCCACGTGCAGAATTGTCAGCACAAGTGTGTGATTGTGCCCCATCTCCAGGCCAGTGCCAGGAAAGAGATCGAGGAGAGCATGCAGGTGTTCTCCGAGCTGGTGCGATCCATTCAGAAGGCTCAGGCCGAGCTGGTTCTGGTCATCGAGGAGAAGCAGAGGAAGACGGAGAGGTGGGCCGAAAGCTTCGTGGCTGAACTGGAGCAGGAAATTGCTGAGCTGAAGAGGAGGACCGCTGACCTGGAATATGTGGCAAGGGCCGACCACATTCACTTCTTGAAGGTAATAGCTTAAGAATCAAGCTAAAGTCAAGGGGTTTCCAAGAATCGTATATGGTTTATCCACGATTAGGATTGGTTATGTTTATCAGTCATTAGATTCGTGACATTTCTTTGCAGCCATGTGTTAGAATTTCCCCCAACCTAGTTGGGTATTAATGCCTTTTGATCCAACCCCTGGATTATTTCTTGTGTGAATAATTGCTGGAAGTGTTTGGAACGGTTTTGCATGTTTGAGGAGAGCTGCCTTCCTGAGCATGTAATACTAGTGATAGCTGTTATGTATGTAATTTAAAGCATGTATGACCTGATGCGCTGCGTCTCTTTGCAGAACTTCCCCGCTCTCAGCATTCCTCCTTCCGTTAAGGACTGGTCTGACACCAGTGTTCCCACCGACACGTGTGTGGGGCTGATCAGGAGGTCCGTTTCCAAACTTGAGGACGCATTGAGTGAAATGATCCAAAAGCTGTGTGAAAGTGGTAGGAACTTGGACATTTTACATCTAATTATTGCTCTAGAAATGCGCCAAAACGCTGGGAATCGTAACTAAAATACCTGTTGCGTTTGTTGTTTCTTTTGCAGAGATAAGAAAAATAATGAAATATTCAGGTAATTTTTTCTTCTTCTTTTACATTTTAGTTAAGTCTTTCTCCTTCAAACTGTCAGAACATGTTCTCTCTCTACAGTGGACGTCATCCTGGACCCCGACACGGCCAACCCGTGGCTGCAGCTCTCGCAGGACCGGCGCCAGGTGCGACACCTCGGCGCCTGGCAGGACCTCCCGGACCATCCCGATCGCTTTGACACCGTGGTCGTTGTGCTGGGGCACGACGGCTTCACCTCAGGCAGACACTACTGGGAGGTTCAGGTCGGGGAGAAAGACGACTGGTACCTCGGCGTGGCCCGGGCCTCCGTCAAAAGGAAGGGCAAAATTTCTGTGAGCACGACCCAAGGCTACTGGGCTCTGGCCATGAAGAAAGGCCAGGGATACCGGGTATCAACGTCTCCGCCGATACTGCTCTCCCTCGACCCCAAACCAAAGAGAGTGGGGGTGTATGTGGACTATGAGGAAGGCCAAGTTTCTTTTTATGACGTGAGAGCTTGGACCCATATTTACACATTTCAAGCGACCTTCAGGGAGAAGATTCTGCCCTTTTTCTACCTGTACTGCTGCGACAAAGCCTCTGACACCATGGGGATCTGCACCGTGAACGAGAAAAGCCTGATCAAGCTAAGCTAAGGACCCCCACTGACCATAAAAGACGATGAAATTTCCCCAAGGAAGAGGAAAGGGCGGATTTATTTTCAGATACATGCTGACACGTAACCATTTGTTTGTCAAAATTTCTATAGCGGTGCAAAGTGGCTGATGAAGTGATCTTTAATGGGTTTAAAGCATAAAAATGAGGTGTTTTTAAAACATTTCTCTGAGAGATTTTTGCTCTCAGGTAACATTCTGATAGTCTGTGATTTATAAAACCAGTTAACCTGGCAAAGCCAAGCATTACACGTCCTGTTTAGAATAGATTGATTTTTAAGGGATGTTCTTAGTCTAGAGCAACAAAAGATTTGCACGGAATCTCGGACAAAATGGTGCCAGAAGGAGTTTGGGTTTGGATTGCAGATGCACAGAGCATGAAGCTATTGTCTTTGGGAAATTCCTTGTCTGCTGCTGTGTATAATGTCACTATCATGCTCCTGTATTAAAGATTCCCCAAAGTCTGATTCCTCGCGTTCTTTCTCCCTAACAGAGTTGCTCTGACTTTTTTTTCTCGGAAAGTGACCAGAAAAAATCACACTTTCAGAACTTTTTTGTGTGTGTGTTTTTTTAACCTCACTAGAATGTTACAATACAAATCCACTCTAATGGAGTGATTATTTATGAATTTGGGTTTTCGAATCAATCCCGATAACCCCCCAATAAACATAAATAAAATTATAGACCTGTTAAACAAAATGTTGAGGTTGAAAGTCAATCTCTTTTCATAATGGACCGATATGATCTTCTTACACGAGGATACAAAGTTCAACCCTCTGTGTGCAGTGAAGGCATGGGCCAGTAGGGGGCAGTAGAATTCCCACAACAGATTCCACCGATGTGCACAGTCATGTTTCTGAACTGTACAAAACATCGACACACTTCTCTGAAGTGTTCCCACAACACTTAGATGTGGTCAGAAACACTGGGTAGTGTTTGGAGGCACGTTATTTAAGGTGAAGCCGGAAAAAAAGCTCTTTGAACAGTTCTAAGACAGAAACTTTTGTTTTGATCAGGGTCATCCACCCATGGAGGAAAAGGTTTACGCTGTTTGTAGTGATATGATGCTAAATGATCCCCTTTTGCATAAGTGTCTGAAGCATTGTGCCACCATCACAACAACATATTCTGTCCTCACAGAAACAAGGTCACACCATCTTAAGATTCTTAAGATACCATCTGTCTTAATAATGGGACTTTTTCCATGTAATCGTCTTATTTTTTGCCCGAGCTTATGTTTTGAAAGAGAGCGTTATGTGTGTGAGTCTATTAGCTTTCTGAAGGATCTGATGTCTGAGTTTCCAGTCCAGTCAAGTTGGTTCACATTAATCGCGGCCACAGAGGTTTGGTTGGCCCCACCTCTCATCCCAACTCACAGGATGTGTGCGCGGTCGTGTGTGAGGTGCAGCTAGTTTGTTTCAGTCGCCGTACAAACCCCCCCCCCCCCCCCCCCGGCCACTCAATTCTCTTTGTTGCGAATGCACTCTTAATAGAAGAAAAGCTGCATGTTTTTCGATGACTTTTTGTGGTTTTTTGCATCACTGATGCAGCTGATCTAATGCGACTGACAGAATTTGCAGATGCAGAAGAAGAGGCTCAAACAGAAGGTTGAAGGGGATGGTTTTCCTTTATCTTCTTAGTTTCAGCTTGTTTGGTTCCTGTTTAACATTTATACACATAAAAAAGAAAAGTTACCATTAACTGAAAAAGGGAAAAGTTAGACAAAAATGCCCATTGTTGTAGGCTTTTTGCCGCTTTACAGATTGCATGAATTGAAACATATTTAGACTTATCACATCAAATTAATTTAATGTTGTAATAAATATCTAAATTGGCGTTTCAAGCTTCCAACAAGTACAAAACATTGATTACAAACAGTGCAATGTTGCTGCTACCTCTCGGAATGATAAGAATTCTATCTGACAGAGCAGATATGGATAAATAAAGCATTGTAGCTGTCCAGTGTCCAGTTCCTCAGTCAAAAACTTGCAGAATTTATTCTTACCTCGTCCTATGGATTCATCTATGCAGAAGAAAAAAAAAAAATGTTTTGGCTCAACGTTTCATCACAATTTGCCTGATAGCCTGTTAGAGGGTATTTTGTCTATGACGTCTCCATCACTGAGAGCGGGGAGGAAACTCTGGCAGAAGAGAGCAGCCTGTAAAAGAAAAAAACTGAAAAAGTCGTGTCTCTGCTTTAGTCCTCATGAGCAGATCACACCTTTCAGTCCACAGTGGCTTCTTCGCTGCAAACCTGCTGCTGCTGCAGCTAACACGGTGTGAAATACGTTGCTAGTTTCCACTGGCGGAAATGCAAGTTCTAACACAAGATTGGCCTGCAGTCCCCAGGCAAGACTACGACTTAAACCTGTGCAAGAGTGGCTTCAGAGCAGCTGCTGGGCCAGCGGTTAAGGGGCAAAAAAGAAAGATGGAGGGAAAACAATGAAGATGAAGGCGTGGAAATGATTTCTCATTAAAAAACCTTGAATGTACAAATTGGATTTTTTTCCTTCTACAGGTTTGTGTATGGGTGTAGCATTGCTATGGTCAGCCATTACCATTGCAGGGCACACACAGCGCCCCCCCGACGCCTGCTCATCGTCACGGGTTGTTTGCTGTAAATGTGTGGCACCACCACAGACTTTGAGCCGGGAAGATGTTTTTATTTTTTTAAAAAGATATGTGGTTGACAGTCTAAAGAGGCGCTGTCTGCGTCGACGAGTAAAAAAGAAAAAAACCTCTCCTGAAACCTCTGCATGCTGTGCGGTCTCTGTTGAGTTCTCGTGCCCTGCAAAAAAAGAACAAGAAGGCAGTAAGATGTAAAACATTTTTACTCTCATTGTACACGGTTTGTAGTCTTTTCGTATTCACGGACATACATTTTAGCATTTCCTGTTACTCTGATGCAATCTCCCATTTGAAACACTAACTCTGGAGGACTAGAAACACCACATCACAAATGTCTGTGGAGAGGAAGTAGACTTTGTTTTTGCTTAGATGCATCTACCATCGTGTGTTCCTCTTTACCAGACAGTGACAAGAATGGGTTCACAAACTACAGCCTCAAACATTTTAAGATGTCATACAAAATGAGGTTTGTTGATGTCAAAGAAACCTTATCTCTTAGCCTCTGTAAGCATCTAGCACAGCTGATGATACTTATAGTCCTGTGAGCAGCCGCCTGCTAAAATGAAGCAAAGCGGCACCAAAACATGGAAGAACATCATTTCTGAAGATCTGACTGCCTTTAGCGACCATCGGTGATGCTCACCGTCTGAAGACGGTGAAGAACTTCTTCTTCTCTTAGGTTGTGAGAAAACAGCCCCCCTTACCTACTTATCTGAAACACTTTGATCTGTTTTTTTCTTTTTGCGGTTTAAAACAGGATGTCTCTACATGCTTCATGCTGTGCAGCCCCACAGTAGAACTTTGAGGCTCAGTCCACAACCGGTGAATTAGATACATGAACGTAGATCATATGTATTAGATGACCTGCCCTTAGATATTAAAATCAAACGAGGAAAATAATAGATAAAAATGAGTCAGTGTTGGGCCCAGATTGCCTAGAGCAGTTTCTCCCAACCCTGGTCTTCATGGACCACTCTCCATCCAATGGGTCTTCATAAACCTTCTGCACAGATTGAAGAGCAAAAGGGCTTTCCCGTTTATTTGAAATGGGTATGCTGGAGCAGAGACTATTGGAAAACATGCAGGACAGTAGTCCTTGCGGACCATAGTTGGGAAGCACCGGCGTCAAGTACATCCGAGTTGCTCAAGGCAACCAGATCTTCAGAAATGTTCTTACAGGTTTTGATGCCGCTATGCTTCATTTTAGCAGGCGGCTGTTCAGAGGGCTCTCTGCTTATGCTTGCTGAGGCTAAGCCATAAGGTTTCTTTGACATCAACAAACCTAATTTTGTATCACATCTTGAAACGTTCTAGGCTGTACTTTGTGAACGCATGTTATCGTATGCAAATGGCACTTTTCATGATGAGTTCAACAGCAGTCTGAGGTTTTCTCTGTATGGTAAAACCGAACGACTTGACGATAAGGGACTCTATAAGCTTTGGTCTCAGCCGCATATTTCTACGTCAGTTTCAACACATACACATTTGGAGTTTTTAGCAGAAGCCACACCGTACGTAAAAGGTTCAGGCTTGAATATCCAGACTTTAGTCATCCAGTCAGCATCTGAGGCTGAGAGACTCTGAGACCTTGAACTGTAGAGTCCACACCGGGACCTTGAATAGAGAACCCAGAGTTTACTGGTTTAAAGAGTCTGATTAAGTGCCCATAGGGTGCACTGGTGTTTAGATAAACTATGTCTACTCTATACTGTGGTGAGTCAGTATGATTTGAATGGAAAACCATTAACATATAGAAGTTAAACACACTTAAAAACATCATTTTTTAGCCTACATACATGAGTCATGTAGTGTTCATGAGAAAAATTGTTTGCCTATAATTAGTCCTCCTGTGGTCTCCAGGTGAAGCAGAGAAATCTGTAAAAATCAGTGCAGTTTGGTCATGTATCTATTTAAAATTCTGTTCTCTGATCAGCTCGGTAATATGGTGGTTTCAAGCAGGATGTCATAGTTTTTTTCTCAGCTAACCCACATTTAGTTAAAAGTGTTCATGCTTTTTAAGGCCTAGCGTATATCTAGAAGTTTATCGAGTTTCGTAACGGTGTGGTTGGTGTGGGTCTGAAAGAAAAAGGCATAGGGGTGTTATTTCCGGTTCTTCAAGGGCCTCTATCCTTAACAAGTTGTTCTGAAGAAAGCGACCTCTTGAAAATATTGTTGAGCTCTTCACAGGCTTGCCAATGGTGGTGCATTGATGTGAATAGGGTGTGCTGAAGCAGGAAAACATTTAAAACCGGCAGAGTTGAAGCATTATAAAAAGGTCTGCACCAGCATTTCAAGAGACTTAATCAGAAAAATCTTGACTGTTGTACGTGGAAACATTTCACATTTTCACAGAGTACCAATCCAATGAATTCTATTTTTTCTACTTTTTCCCAAGCCTATTTCAAAAGGCCACAGACTAAAGCGAGAGCAAACTGAAACTCCCAACAGGGATACTAGTTCTGGAAAGTTCCTTTACATCATAGAACATCTGTGACAGTAATGGGAAGAAGTCTATGAATTTAGTCTTTTCTAAGAACAATTTTAATGGGGATGATGCTCAAAAAGTTATCACTACTGAAAACTAAATGAATGCATTTGTCAAAAGAGCTTGAGCTCTTAGCTGTATTGTTGCTTGACTATCAAGATTCTGACAGATATAACCTATGGCTGTCCTGGGACCCATGATCACTGGTGCATTTGGGGTTTGTTGGGTATTTTAGGCCTCAGAATACACTCACGCCAGGACGATCCAGCCGGTGTTGGTCGAGCCCAGACTTATGTCGCAGCAGCATGAGCTCACAGATCACTTCTGATGGAGCAATACTCGGTCATGAAGATGTTGCCGTGTTGAAACTTGAGTTGTTGGCCAAGGTCTATCATCAGCTGCCAGTCCTTCATTGTGTCGAGTAGACAAGCAGAATCTTTAAGTAGTTGTGTTTGCTGCTACTCCTGCCTTGACGAAGGTTATCTGCTTTTGAGGGGGGTTTCAGGGTTAGGGTTTCTGGGCCGCTATTCAACCACTACCTTACGTACTTGCTCATTGCGCAAATGACAGCAGCCATGCCTTACCTGCACAGGATTTGTTTTAGAGTCGCTCTCCCAGGGCAGAGAGGAGATAATGGGGAGTCAGACCGGCCTCCTGCTGCCCAATGACTGTTTGTTCACTCTCCATTGGCTGCAGCCCTCATCCCATCCCAGAGGAATCACTTTACTTTTCGGGGGGATTTGCTATATTGAGGTATTAGAAACCTGCCGAAGCCAAATCTTCCCATTGACTTCCTGTTGATGCAGTCTGTTTAGATTTTAGGGTGACGGTGGTTTTGATACTATAGTGCATTTCTGGTATGGGTTACTGAGCTTTTCTGCATAAACCTCTGAGCATGAAATCCATGAGAAATATGAATCATCAGCTGCATATATAGAAAAGAAATTGCTGCAACAAAAGTGTTGATCCGATACTGATACTGAATGTTTATATAGCTGACAAATGACAGTGATAATGAAAGTGGCCCCTTAAATTTGGTCAGAGCTTCCACTTGTAGACTCTATAAATACATTTCCTTTATGGATGCTGTTTTGTCGAATCATGTAGAATCATTATCAAAAACTGTTTTTTGGGAAATAAGTTAATTTCTCTCTGTCTTAATGTAATTCTTGAGCACAATATCAAAGTTGTGATTAAGGGAGTGTAAGTGTGAGCACACTAAGAAACTACAAATGAATCTGACACGGGGTGATAGCATTAACGTTTAGATTATTATTGTGAACAAATGCGTGAACAGCTTAGTTGCCCACAATAAAGATGCTAGCTGCACTCAGTAAAAACATGTGTTCACACCTCATTCACTCAATTTTAAGAGAATACAACTTCTCTTATGAAATGGTTTTCTCCCCTTTTCAGTTTTTGATCAAACTAGAGCCGAGGTTTCTTTTTCTACCTTTGTCCTTTTATAAACCGTTTGAATAAGTCTCAAAATAAATTTCAATTTAATCTGTAAAATATTACAATAGACAATATTTCGAGGGATACAGGAAACATGATGAGGACAACCCAAGTGCATTGCTACCACCAGTTTCTAAGAGTCAAACACTAACCAGTCCTCAGTTTGACGGAATTTTTTTTTTCAAAGTTTCATCTGATACAGGGTTATTAGTTTCCAACCACTGCAGCAGAAGTCTGTTCCATCAATACGTCACTGTGCTAAAAAACATCTAGAGAAAACACCCCGCCCCTCTGGACAACTCTATAAGAGCTGAAAGCAGCAAACAGAGCCACTCTGAGCCACACGATGAGGAGCTTAGTCCTGATAACAGCTTTGTCTCTCTGCAGACTCAGTAAGCACGGCCACATGGAGTC